TTTTCTGTAGGCCTTCTTCCCAATCAGAAGCTCCATATGTCAGCAAAGGTATAACAGCTCCTTTGTACATTGTTCTCAAAGCTTTATGACCTAAACCCCACTGTAGCTTTACTGCTATTGTCAGCATATGTATAAGTTGAATAGTCTTTTCTGTTATACTCTCTATATGTTTGTCAAAATTGAATTTGCTATTCAAATGTATTCCCAGGTATTTTATTTCTTTGACTTGTTTAATTCGTTTATAGTTTACGTAAATATTAATTTGTTTATTTGCAGATTTCCTTTTCTTTGTAATCAGCAAGGTCATAGACTTGCTATCATTAAATTGTACTTTGTTATTTTTTGCCCACATTTATATTCTTCTAACATCTGCATTGGCATAATTTTCTGCTTCCGTATCGCTCGTGCCATTTGATAGAATTATTAGATCATCAGAAAATGCAATGACCAGAGAGTGGTCTGAAAAGTTCAGGTTGAGGAGTGAGTTATACATTATGTTCCAGAAGCCAGGTCCGCTACAGGAGCCTTGCGGGCAGCTTTTGCCGACCTGTTTCATAACTTCGTATGTATTGACTGAGAATGTTGCAGATCTGTGGCTAAAATAATGTTGTGATAACTCATACAAATTCTTTGGGCATCTAAGCTCTTTCAAATTAAGGAGGATACTTGGCCACCAGGCCGCGTCGAACGCTCCTCTTACGTCAAGACTCACTAGGACAACACTGTTCTTTTTGTGTAGATTTTTCTCAATGAAGTTTTTAACTGCCGAAACTGTGTCTATTCCCACTTGAGGGGTAAATCCATATTGATTACTATTCATCAAATTATTTGTGGTGAAAGATTCTGTCAATAAGTAATTTCTCCAACACTTTGCCAGCAACATTTAGCAGACTAATCGGTCTGTATTTTGACATTTCCTTACTATTTTCTTTGCCTGGTTTAATGATGGGAATTATTATTGATTTTTTCCAAATTTTTGGAAAATATCCATTAGTCAAGCATGAATTATATAGTTCTATTACAAATAATGGGAGGTGTCCAAATACTTGCAGAAGTATGTCACTCGTTATCCCATCTTCTCCAGGTGACTTTTTAGGATTAAATTTTTTGAGCACGGCTAGTATTTCTTCTTGGGTGAATCCTTTATCATTTGGTTCTTCTGGCGGTTCCATCACTTGTTTTGTAATCTCTGAGTGGTATTCGCTATCAGTTTCTTCACTGTCCTCAGGTACAAAATAATCCATGATATGTTTTATTGTACTTTCCATATCCTTTGTGTTAGATCCATCTTGTGTCTGAAGTGTAGACAGGCTAGTTCTGTTTCTAATTTTGCCGGCTGCGATTTTATATACAGCATTCCATGGATTGAATCCATCAGTTATAGTACAGAATTTTCTCCATGATTTCATTTTCTCTTCTTGAAGTCTGGACTGATAGTGGCATTTCTCTTCTTGGTATTGGATTTTTCTTTGTTGTCGTAGATTTGCATTGTTCATCGTTCTTTGATACCTTCTTCTCATTGCATTTACCTTCTTATGTAGTATAGTCAACCTATTTGTCCACCAAGGGACCGTTCTTCCTTTGGTCACTTCCTTCGCCGATTTAAATCTAAATGCTGTATTGCATGCAGATTTGATGCAACTGAAAAAGTCTTGTATCATATCTTCAATATCATTTTCATTCCTAAGTTTTTCACATAGTTCTCTTTCTATAGCCCTAACCTCCATTGTTTCATTTATACAGTTAAATTTGGATTTCATATTCTTGACTTGATTTATATCAAATGCTGGAAAGTTTTGCTCCTTTACGATGTATCTTAGGCGTTGGTCCTGTTCTGGTTTCAAATCCCCATGTATTCTATTTGTAATATTGTCCTATGTAACGAATAAAAGAGGGAAAAAGTTGGAAGCTGACCATTGTTGGTATGGATCTTACACATCTTCGTTACGCTTTTTTGCCGAATGACCATTACGTATAGACGTATTTACGTCAATAACTCTGATACCCTGTTCTGCCCCGTTTCCCCATTCTGCCCTGGTCTCCCCTATTTGTCATTATCTGGATTATTATCTTCCCCACCATTCTTCCTTTCATATCCCAGTTTCGACATCAATTTTTCAAAGTGTTGAGACAGTCGTCGAAAATGTTCGGAAATCTTTAACCTGTGATTAAAGAATCAGTAAATTATTAAGGGTACTAGATTTGAAATTGGTTGTACTAATTGGTCACCACTACATTTCTTGCATTTTCTTATTGTTCATTTATTTTATTGTGTTCTGTACAAGCACACGCTGTTTGTTATTGTAAGAGGGAAATGCTGTGTTGTCAATGTTAAAACTTGGTTTAAATTTTATTTAAAATTATGTCCTTGTCAGATACAATAATGAGAATCTATAATCAGTCTGTGCAGATACAGTGGTAAGGAAGTTGAACTGTTGTTGAAAGTACTTTGGAGTCGAATCGAAATGAGTAGTGAGCGGAGCCTGTCAGATTCAAAGTCTCAAGGGTAAGTAGTCCTGGTTACTGTTGTCAGGATGCTGAAATCTACTGTCCACCGACCAGGATAAAATTCCTGGTAGGAATTTGATACATGTGCATGCGCAAGATTTCATGGTGAGTGACGACCCATCCTAAAAGCATTCGTTCCACAACCACTGAATGAACAACAGACAACAGATTTCATGTGTTCTAATGGGTACAGCTTTAAGATTACCTCACAGAGGCACAGAGATTTAATCTAGAATATTATCGCAACGCCCACAGAACACAGTACAGACGCACTCAATACACGCTACTCTCAACTGCTTGATGTTTTCAGTCTGTGTAGTAGCGTAAAACTCTGGCGTGTCACACTTCCCACCAATAGCAGCCCTCGAGTCCACTTGATAGTAAACATTCCCCCTGCACCACACCAGAAACGACTTCCCACCACAGGGATTTTATCCTGGCCGGTAGACAGTAGGATGTTATTGTGACCTGAAGATATAACTTAGAGGAGTCAAATGCATGCAAAATTTTCTTGTTGAAAACTTTTGGAAAGCAACAACTTTGAAGAATGAGAAGATGCAAGCCTAACATAAGATTGATCTTGAAGAGATTGGGTGTTGTGATGGGAGACCATAAGGAGTCGATAAGCATATTCATTGTGGGCTTTGGTGTTAGTTGTGTTGAACATTTTTATTCATTTTTGAGAATTTGGTACTTGTGGGTTATCGGGACACATCACTTTAAAAATAGGTTAGGTTAGGTTAATTGTCTTTTATTGAAATAAAATATATTAACTTTCAAGTATATGTCATTTATCCACACACATTGACCTAACCTAACTTATTTTGAAAGCGATGTGTCCCGATAACCCACAAGTATCGAGAATTTTCTTAGGTTTAAATAATTCAAGGTTGATTTTTATCATACACACCTTCACACTAGTGTAAACTGACCAAGTTGAACATTTCTGGATGCGTAGTTTAAACAAACTATCCTATGAAGATATCCGTCTTCTGGGTTGTTGCGCTGTGTAGTCCGGTTGATGTTAACCAACGTTTCAGAGGTCATACTGCCTCCGTCATCAGGGCGATGAATCGCACTGATGATGGTGCAACAACCCAGAAGACAGCAGTCTTTTTACTCACCGCTGTGAAAACCTCAAATCCTACATAACACATTTATATACACATCCACACATATGTACATGCCCATATATATATATATACAGACATAGAAACATACCTGTGTTCATTACGGTACACATATCATCCGAATGTATGTGGCAATAATAATGAAGAAGATAAATAAAACTGTAAACATCTCCATGGAGTACTGTAAAATAAAAAGGAAAAGCATAAAATAGCACTGTGTTTATGACGTTTTATCAGTATCATCTCATTAGAATCTGGTAACAACTTTATAAATCAGCATCAATTAGAAATCGTACCAAAACTGCAGAATAACAAAATTAGATATGCACTTACCCTGCAAAGCAAACTGGCGAATTCTCTTACACCGGCATATTTGAAAATCATGGGCCATGCGCAAGTGAACAGACAAACAACTCCAAAGTTGTAATATTCTTCATACCAATTATATGAGTCAAAGTTTGAAAACTTCTCCTCTGAAATATTTTGAATTATTTGTGGTTCAATAACCACATAGCTATAGATTCTGAAGCATATAATAGGATAGCCAAGCTGGGGAAGAAAGAACACAATCAAATTACAATCGCTGAAAGAATTAAGTGCATTAGACTTCATTCAAGCAGAAATGCCCATTGAAAAATTACCCTGTAGGTTATTTAATTGTTATTTAACTTATCCAAAAGCATGAGTAACTGAACAATGAACAGGATGAAAAGAAATTGGGTAGGAAGCAGCGCATGCCTATTTATTCTAAGTTTAATAACTAACTAACTAACTAGATGGCTTATGGAACCCGAAGGTTCACCACCGAATTAACCAAAGCCCTCCACCAGACACTGTCCTGGACCAACAAAATCCAGTCTCCTTCAACTCCTATCTCCCATAGATCCCGCCTGACGTTATCCTCCCATCTACGTCTAGGTCTCCCCAGCGGTCTCTTATTATTAGAAATATACTTCTTATATCTTAAATATTAATGTCAATATGAACTGGTTCAAGGCAATACTACTTTTATTTAATCTATATTATCTCAAGTCAGAGTAGAGAATCTTACCATAAGAATAGCCAGACCAAAACCATCCCATACAGACTCCATGCATTTGCGTTTGAAGACCATAACATCCACTCTCTTTTTTGCGGTGAACAAAAATATGAACGCTACGAACATGAGTTCACAGACTGCGACAACGAAGTCATATGAGGTCACAAGTTGATGTAGCTTCACTATCTTGCAGTCATATGATGTTAAGAGTCCTCTTGGTGTGTTCTCAAAAACAAGCCTGTTAATAAAGACATAAGAAGTTCAGTAATCACCAATTGGTTAAGCTGTACTCTTGGGTGGCACTAACAAATAGTAATAGCTAGAGATGCTGCATCAAAGCTGATTGTCATTTGGAAGGGTCGCAATATAAGTAGACGCACTAAACTGAGACTGTTGAAGACTCTGGTGTTTCCAATTTTTCTGTCTGGTGCAGAAACATGGATAATTAAGTCAGTAGACAGAAGAAGAATTGATTTTTTTGAGATGTGGGCATACAGGAGGATGCTGAGAGTATCGTGGATGGAGAAAAGAACCAGTAACTCGATACTCAGCGAACTCAATGTACAGAAGAGACTGTCCTCCATATGCTATCAGCGAATCCTACAGTTCTTTGGGCATATTGTAAGGCGACAGGATGATAGCCTGGAAAAAATTATTGTCCAGGGAAAGGTTGAAGGGTAAAGATGGAGCGGAAGATCCCCAAGGCGATGGTGGACCAGGTGGAAGAGAAATTGAATCTGTCACTTGGCCTACTCAGAGAGGTAGAAGATCGGGACCGATGGAGACAGATTGTGGAACGTGTCTAATGATGGGTCATCAACTTTCAACATTGAAAGCCGGACTGATGATGATAATATGGGACTTAAAATAAATTAATGAATGAAAAATACACAGTGTTCCATAAATGGCAGGAAATTTCTTAAGTAGCTAAGCAACTATTAGCTTATCAAGAAAGACTTTGTTTCATGGGGCTGATTATTCTTAGTACCTCACTGGTATACCTCCACTCACCCCAAACGCCTACATGGCGTATAGTGGGACAAACTTTACTTTTTCTTAGTACCTCACTGGTCTAGATGTTCATTCATTGGAGATCCATTGCAGGAAATTTCACACCACAGATGTCACATTATAGAGTCATAATTTGTTTTACCTTGTATTTAATTAAATATTTACTGCATTGAAAAATGTTTAAAATTAAAATAATAGGCCTGAGTGAGATCTATATTTTATGTTCTGTATCATTATTTTTGTACGGTGAGCTATTTTTGGAAAACTGGTATAGCATTTGATATGATATTCATGGAAAACAGAAGTTACATCATATGATAAAAATTTAAAACAAATTTGCCAGATATCTGGTGTTAATAAGTGGACAGACATGACTGTCCTGTTATGCAGGTTATCGAAAGGATGCATAAAATGGTTAATATTAAAGATATTGAACATAATTATGACTGTGTTGCACATTTTTTTATGTGCTTAGTTTATGTACAGGTAACCCTCGATTTACGCCGGGGATGCGTTCGTGGAAGAACCGGCGTAAATTGAAACTCTTTTTATAATAGCAGACTTGGGTCCATGAGGGAGTAAGGTTAGTATGACATGCTTTTTGCGTACCCTGATAAGTTCTACTGTCCAAAATAACATTCCTCATTGATATATGCAGTGTAAGTACCATTCATGTGCAGCAATGGGGCAACAATATACTAGTCAAGAAGCATTTTGTGAATTGGGGCCATGTTAATTAACTAGATGGCTGACCGAACCAGAAGGTTCATCACCGAATTAACTAAAGCCCTCCACCGGACCCTGTCCTGGGCCAACAAAATGCAGTCTCCTTCAACTCCTATCTCCCACAGACCCCCCCCTGATATTATCCTCCCATCTACGTCTAGGTCTCCCCAGTGGTCTCTTCCCCTCAGACTTCCCAATATTAAGCTGAACCAAAATCACTTCTATTGAGAGCAGATGCCAAGTAAATTGATGCAGACAACACCTGATTTCAGATCATTCATTTCCAGCCCTACATGATTCTCCTCGACTCTCCTGGTGGTAAAATACATTACATAGAAAATATAAATATCTGTGATAAAGATAAGAATTTGAAAGTGAGAACTTACTTCACAATAAAGATTGTACTGATATTTGCACTATAGAGAGTTAAGTCAAGGAAAATGGCACATGTTCCTCTTGTAATCCACTGATTATTCCTCAAGGTAAGCAATTTCTCAATGGTTTCGCTACGGTTGAGTGACAGATCTTCATAATATCCTCCGCCACTATATGTTGAGAATCTTCCTCGATAACTGGAACCACGCAGTTCTTCTGCAGTGGAATAAGTCCACCTGTAGTCAGAAACAGTAAATTAGTCTGTTTGTTTTAATTCCAATATACAAACACAGAAATATTAGTTCTTTGTGTGTACGTCTGCGTTTAGAGGTTATTCAAAAAAGTAAGGAAGAATGGTTCATCCTTGCAAATGGATGAACCTCCAGTTAGTATAAACTTTGCCATCTGATACAAGCATATCAGGTGGCAGGAAGGTCAAAGGATAATTCTCTTGTGAATAACCATTTTTCAGCTTTAAATGTTTGTCTGCAAGCTTTAGAATTTTTGTGTGGATTAACTACATAATACACACACACTGTAGTATTACTTTCTTGGAGAAGTCCTAAAAGAAATCAGAAAACTATGTTGTACTACATGGACATTGATGGAGCGTCTTGTAAAATAAACCAAATTTATCTGCTGATAACAGTTACAAATCTCCAAGCACTTTCATAGAGGCAGCTGTGTGGTATTTGCCATATCTTTAATATGTTCTCCTATAAATATAAAGGGAATATTTTTATTTATATCAATAAAGTTGTCTGTTGAAAATGTTAATTGAAAACTTACGCTGTTCCGATTCCTGGCCCAAATGGTTCTTTATCTTCCTTCGCAGGTGAATATAAGTCATGACATGCTCGGTATGATCGTTGAAATGCTTCACGTACTATGCATGAACCATTTCTCCCTTTTACCTGTAGACAATAAAATTTTACTTGCATTCTAGTTACTCCAATACACACAAAGGTCCTATGCTTTAGAAACGTGACACCTATTCATTAGACATGCTGTATGATGAAACAGTTAATATGAACGTATATTGTCATTACTAAATTCTCTATAATGTTTTTATATTCACAATTAGAAAATTCAGATTGATTTATAAATCATAAATCATGTATTATCAATAGAATGCTAACTTTATTTCACTTTATTTTATTTTGTTATAAAGGAAAATGTACCTACCTGTCGTAAGCGAGGTGCTCCAACCAGCTTAATATCTTGCAACATACACCCAAATGCTTGATGCGTATCATCTTGGAAGTTCCGGTACATACTGTCGATCATTACAGTTTCTGCGAACTAAAAACAAAAATAATTAATCGCATGTAAACAGAAAGATCGTAAGTTATATATCGACTGTAAAATGCAGTGCATTCTGAAACCATTATCTAAATATGAATTATCAGTCACTAACTCTTTATGATACATATTATTCTTAGAGCAGTTGATATGCAGTTACTCAGATGATCAATGATCGGTCACTAACTCTTTATGATACATATTATTCTTAGAGCAGTTGATATGCAGTTACTCAGATGATCAATGATCGTTTTTAAATAGGTATTGTCCTGCTGAGAAATGCCTGCCTGTTTCCAAGACCCATTTTAATAGTGTTCTTTTATATATGCCAGTGTTTTCCATGTGATCTCTTCCCTTGAGATTTTTCGATCAAAATTATGAACATATTTCTGTTTTTTGAACATTAGTTTTCTTCTCCATTTAGTCTTTCATGGTTTTCTCATGCACACAGTGCTGGGGGGTAAATAGTACAAATTTTCAGTCCCTAATAAAATGTGATATTTATTTCATCTTGAATATAGACAGCAGTAGTTAATATTTGTAATAATAAGCCACAGCCAAAAACTGAAGATTAAAATTTATACTATTTCTTTGCAGCAAGATAGAAATATTATAAAAATAGGAAGTGTTGCATAATGCTGTCAGGGTGATTAAATCTGGAAGACTGAGATTGGCAGGCCATACAAAAAGTATGCAGAAAGATGGAATTCATACAAAATTTTATTTGGAAGATTTGATGGAAAGAGACCAGTTCGGAGCACCAGGCTGGATTTAGTTGTATGGATACTGACTTGAAAGTGATGTTAATTAACCTTCTGGTGACATAATAGAAAATGTCTTGTACTGTTGGATAACTTTTTTTATAGTAATGTTGTCGACTGCTTAATCAGTTAATTACACGGTAGCAAGTGAGTTTTTTGAATTACTTCATTATCTCCACATTACAGCATTTATGTATATCCCAATCACATATTTATCTTAAATTCATACCTTCCAGAATTGAGTTATGGTTGATAAGTTTTTGAAGGTTCTTTCTTTAATACCATCTTGAAACTTAGTGTTCACAAACAAATCATCCAGATGTTCTCTGCACCAAAATGCCATGTTGGATGTACTCCCAAATATTCCTGAAAAAATAAAGTGATATTTCGAAGAAATATGAACAATTCGAATGGGTAGAATTTAGATCACAGGAAAAGACAGAGAAATTAAGAGAAGCGTGTTATTTAAACAATTACAGACTTTAATCATCGTTTAAATAAAATTATGACTTTCTCACTTTTTCAATTGGAATACATGCACTGAATCTTTTTCATAATTCCGGGCTGTGGCAAATACAACACATGGCATGTCTAAATGTTTACCAGGAAATCACATTTCTCAAAGAAGGCTTAGGGAAACTGGTGTAAAATATGTAACTCGTGAAGGTCTATAACTTTCATTTGGGAAATTATTTGTCTTATGTATTAATAGAAAAGAAAAACAGTGTAGGGTAAACCAACCAGTTATTGGCACTTAAAGCACGTTGATTGAGAAAACATATAAATTGTCCATTCATCTTTTATTGAACTTTTGGTTAAAATTACCAGAGTTATATGAGCAGTGAAACAATATATTCCACCAGTAACAGAGTGCAGAAATACATCTAGCTGGCTGGAAAGAAATTGTGAATAACACATAAGAAAATCTCAGATATTGGCACACTTTCTCCATTTATTGGCAGAGTCTGATTGTCTGTTTCTAATTTATGCGTCCTCATCCAAGCCATTGCCTTGCTTATTTGTTTCTTCTCGTCTCTGTTGATAATGCTCCCACAGTCTGTAGAGAACAAAGAAATCCTCCCCATGTTCTTCGCCTTCTACAATTTGTTTTATGATTTTAAATTTTTAAATTCGACTTTCTCCCACAATTCCGCAGAAATCATCATATGGAAGTGGTTGTATCTTCAATGATGTGATGTTGACATTGACTTTTTGACCATTCTTCGCAATACACTTTGAGAAATCCACCGCATTGGCATTCATGCCAATAACTGGAAATTACAGTTTTATCAATACCAAACTGGCGCCTTAAAAATTGTGTCGATTGAGGTTAGGGGTTTCATATTTCATTATAGCACTCACTAGAGTATGCACATATTGAATATATATACATAAACAATGTAAGTTAATCGGTATATTAATAAACAACAATCAACTTAATTAAACCCCAATAATATGTGCAACACTTGACATTCTGGCAGACAGTCATTAAACAAATTACGACTCGCGGCTGAAACAACTGACTCATACTAAGCAAACGCTGCTCGTTCCCAATATCTGTGAAACAGAGTCGCCAACTGCTTACACTGCTTAATATCGCAGGCTCAATAACAGAGTGCCAATAACTGGAGGGGTGCCAATAATAGGGCGTTTTACTCTATTCCCTATAAATTTAACATCTGTACCATTGATTACCTTCATCAATTATGGAATTTATGATTCTGCAACATGTAGTATTTGTACCATTGTTTAGTTAATCAAGAGTTCATATGTATCTTAATTAAATGAATATCAAGATGAGTGAACAATCCAAATCACAGAGAATTTGTTTTAATGTTTATATATTCCAATATTTGGGGCTAGGAGAGAAGACGATGGGACATGGAGAAAACTGCATAATGACGAGCTTAAAAATTTGTACTCCTCCAAAGCATTGTCAGGGTGATTAAGTCGAGAAGAATGAGATGGGCGGGGCATGTAG